GCGGACGCCGTTTTTGTGCTAGCTTATGGTTTTGACATTTGTCAACCGTTAAATATTGCAGATACGGGTTTTTGAAATCAATTTAACCTCGCGACACCAGCACTTTTGCAACTCACAAAATGATCCTCAGAGAATAATGTTTTCTCTAAAATATCGGAACCCAGACATGGGTAGGTGCCGCCGTTGTTTGACTTGCATTCGGTTGGCCGCAGGTAAACAGTTTGCCGTGTACCTGCCGCTTGTGATGGGGCCAGTCATGCAGATGGCGTCGGCCAAGCCCGAGTGGACGCTGCTCTCGGACGAGGAGCGCGAGGTGCTCAACGGCGACCAGGAGTGGGAGCTGCACAACTTCGGCGAGAACCAGAACTTCGCCGTGCGCACCTCAGGTGAACACGTCGGCCCGGGACACGGTGGCCAGTCCGGAAGGGAAACGTGACATGGTTGGTGTGGGTTAAGCTTTGTAATCAAAGGGGGGCTTCGAAACGAAACGTTGGCTAGCTCAGTTTTCAATCTCATTTGCGAGAAACGGAACAACGCAATGTAATGAGTGATGCAGGAGTTCCAGCTACGAGAACCTAGCGGCCAGATTTTAATTACGTGCGGATGTCATTGTATTTCTCAAGAGCAAACCGCGGAAAGTTCTGTTCGCCTTACCCTTGCCTTGAGCGAAAGAGGACACCTCAGTTTGAGTGGCTGGCATGCAGGAACGTCACAGTCGGCCAATATTTCCCGCTGTCGCCCTCGTGGGCATTCAAATGGCGCCACATTGGGCGCATCAGCGGCAGCGAGGTGCGACACTGCATGGCTGCGGCGCGAGCACCCAATGGCCGTGCTCACGTCGCCTACCGGTGCCGCAGTGCTGGAGGACAAGAGTACGGCGTGCGCCATGCTGGTGTGCTACGCGCGCGAGCTGGACGGCGAGTTCGCCGAGTACACGCAGCAGGTGGCCGAGCTGATGACGCGGCTGCTCAAGTTCTACTTCCACGAGGGCGTGCGGGTGTCGGCCGCCGAAATCATGCCGCACCTGCTGCAGAGCGGTGCCGCCAAAGGTACAGGCCAACCGATGGCAGCCGCGCACTGGCCAGTCATGTTGCGGCGCAGAACTTGAAATGGTTTGATGTGGGGGCCATGTCGATGTACGCGTCTGGCACAGCTGTGCCCCCGGCTCAGACGGGTGGGTGTGTGACCGTTTGATGGGCCCGGACAGGTGCCGAGTACGTGCAGTCGATGTGGTCCTTCATCGTGCCGGAGCTGCTGCAGGCGCTCAAGTTCGAGCCCACAATCACAGTCATTCCCGAACACATGCAGTCGCTGGCCAAGGTAAGGCGCGCTGAGACAATTCCAACAGGCGCATTTAGTGTGCTTGGGCTACGGTAATATGCTAGTAAATTTTACGGGCGTATTACTGTAGCTCTTTGAGGTGTAGCGCGGTGGAGGATGACTGTACTGCAGCGCCCGGCCATATTGATTCCACCAAACTACATTGCATCATACGTATGACCAGGAAATAGACTGGCGTTTCCGCACAAGCGTCTACTTCCAAACTACCAAAATGTGCCCACGTGACTGCGGTAACGATTCACATTTTATGCGCGCGACAATGGACGCGTGGTGCTTTCGATATCGTCACTAACAGTGCGCCTGATGTTTGCAGTGTATAGAGACGCTGAACTGCCCGTGCCTGAGCGAGGAGCAGATGACTGAGCTATTCAAAATATTCAGCGATCAGTTCGAGAAGCACTTTGAGAAGTCCAAAGAGCGCGACGAGAAGCGGCGAGACGAGGACTATGACGAGGTGCGCCGCCGATTGGCCCATTAGCCGGCCTTTTGTCACCTGTGGCACTCGCACGGCACCCGTCCTGTCCTTGGACAGGTGCGAGGTACGGGAGGGGCGGGATAAGCCAGTACTGATGACCGGGGCGTCTGGATCTGTCACAAATTGGGAACAACGGGACGCACACCTCCTACACTGCAGCTTTGCCGTTGTTTTCACTATACTGGGGTGTCAGTTGACAATGCTGACAGGACAAGATTACAGCGCCCGTCACTACTCGCCCGGGTGGCGCGGCGCGTCGTCGGGCTGGAAATCTGCGGAGTTTCCACCTGCAGATGCTCGGTATGCTGGCGGGATACCATTGACGTGCCACTGCTGCGGCGAGGGTCCGTTGAACATCCCGCCTCGCCGGCAGGAGGTGGAAGAGGAACTGATCGACGAGGATGACGAGTACACGTTCATCATCTCGAAGATCGCGGACGTGCTGCACTCGCTGTTCACCGTGTACCACGACCGGCTGTTCCCGCTGTTCGACACGATCGTGCCGCACCTGGTCAGGCTACTGGTGAGTGGTGGCTACCGTGTACCACGACCGGCTGTTCCCGCTGTTCGACGCGATCGTGCCGCACCTGGTCAGGCTACTGGTGAGTGGTGGCTACCGTGTACCACGACCGGCTGTTCCGGCTGTTCGACACGATCGTGCCGCACCTGGTCAGGCTACTGGTGAGTGGTGGCTACCGTGTACCACGACCGGCTGTTCCCGCTGTTCGACGCGATCGTGCCGCACCTGGTCAGGCTGCTGGTGGGTGGTGGCCCGGCTGACCGCCGCTCCTTCACCGGTTAGCCCTTGCGGAGCGGTCGTATTGGCCCGATGGAATCACACTTATTATTTACTCAAGGTTCCTGGCTTGGAATGACTAATTTTGAGCGAGATTGCCGCTGCAGCGCTGCGTCGTGAAGTCTGCTAATAGTTTGGAGTGCGAGTGCTGCGGCGATGTGCAAATCAAAACTGGCTCATTCTGACTCGTTGCGCTTGTATTCCGGACTGTCGCTGTGGTCCCGATTCAAATTTAGTTGTGATGTCTACCAGGGAGGGGCTTTCAGTATGTTTAACGGGAATCAACGTGGATAACTTCGCTTACTTTGCTATTAGCTCGGCCTGTCCAGTCCAGATGGTTCGAGTCTGCTGTTCAACACAAGTCCGAGTTAAGGTAGATTGACTTCATCTGTTAAGTTGCTGGGAGATCTGAGTTTTAGCGATGGACTGCGGCCATTTTGCAGGGTCCGGAGCGAGCGTGGACGGAAAAACAGTGGTCGCTTTGCATATGGGACGACGTGATCGAATTCTGCAGTCCAGCCTCCATCAAGTACTCACAGTATTTCCTGCAGCCCATGATCCAGTATGTCACGAACAGGTGAGAGCGGCCACTATATCACATACAGAATCGGCGACGATGCTGACTGAAGAGACCCCGCGAAGTTCATGGCACCGTTACGTGATTTCACGTCGTGGAGCTGAGTGATTTGCCCAAGAATGTCCACATTTCAGTTTGTTCATATCGATTTTCAAATTCGAATGAGTGTCTTCCAAGTCATTCGCCGGACGTTGCACGTTTTAAGTGTAGCCGCGTGGCGGGGCCGTGTTTGGCTGCGTTGCTAGGCCGCGCGGTTGCCCCTGTGTTTGTGTGCCTGGGCGCTGCCGCTGCGCCGCCGCCTGACCCGTCTGCTGTGTGCACACCTTGCGTCGACAGCCAACCGGAGGTGTGCCAGGCGGCGGCGTATGGCTGCGGCGCACTGGGCCAGTTCGGCGGACCTGAGTACAGCAAGGTGTGCGCCGAGGCTCTGCCGCGTCTGGTCGAGGCCGTGCAGCGGCCAGACAGCCGCAGCGACGAGTGGATCAGCCCCACCGAGAACGCCATCTCGGCCGTCACCAAGATTCTGCAGTACAACGCCTCGGACATCAACGTGGCTGACGTGGTGCCCGTCTGGTTTAGCTGGTACGTCCTCCACCTACGACTGTTTCGTACCTCGTGCTGCCGTGCGTTTTCTGTACCGACTGGGCGTCTGGCTCAACGGTCCGCACATGGCTGTGGGAAGCGCGTGCCGGTCTGTTGCGACGCGCGCTCTACTCACCCGCGCGGTCCGCGCTGGCAGGCTGCCAGTGTGGCAGGACTCGGATGAGGTGCCTTACGTCTACAACTACCTGTGCGACCTGGTGGAGGCCAACCAACCGGCCGTGCTCGGGCCCAACAACATGAACCTGCCGCGCATCATTGCCGTCATCGCCGAAGCGTTCGCGCGGGGTGCTGTCGGCGCCGGCGACGCCACGGGTGTGCGGCTGCTCAACCTGGTCAAGCAGATCCAGGTGCGCACCCGCCGCCGCCAGCGGCGCTGGAGATGGCTATTTGCTTGGCTGCCGATGTGCATGGAGCTGTTGAGGGGAATCAACCTCTTCATCTGCTACCTTCCGTCCCTACGGTCAAATGATTACTCGATAGATTTGCGGTAGACAGCAATGTCGTGTGTGAAGTGTAGAGTTACGGTATCATGCACGGTACTTGCAGTATTGGAGTGCTGGTGTATGGAAACTGAGCGATATTGACAACATTCAGGTAGATTATGAATGTCTGTCCTATCAGAAGTGACACGCTCTGTTGTGCCGGACCCATATGGAGAAAGAGCGTCCTATACGGCACGCTGCTGTGCCTCTCAGTGCGCACAGAGCCCCACAATGCCGACTCGCTGGTAGCGCGCGCCCCGCTCATCATGATGACGTTAGCCAAATCTGAGGGCCGGTAGAGCTCGCTCCCGCCGCTGCCGACACCTCCGAGAAGCCCACTTGTCTGAGGCGGCCCTTCATGCACCTTACCCGCCCTCTCCGCCACACCCACTAACCCGCCGGCCAACCCGCCCGCAGTCCAACACGGAGCTGTTCCAAGCGTGTCTGGCGCAGCTCAGCGAACAGCAGCGCGAGGCGCTGCACGAGGCGCTCGTCTCGCCGCCGGCGTCGCAGCAGTGACGGCGCCGTGTTGGAGGCCCGACGGCGGCGAGGCCTCGCCGGGGAGGCCCTGGTGAGGCCTCACCCCTGCGGGACGGCGCCGGCGGAAGCGCCCGCGCCGACAGGAGCCGGGCGGGTCGGGTCGGGCGGCGCCCGTACCGGCCGGGACGTTTGATTTCCCAGTGATATGAGGTGGGCCGACGCGTGGCCGTCGACACGCCGCACGAGTCCTGGTCACGCACCGTGTATTTCGCCGTTTTATGTACATACATTGGCCTTACGGCTAATACACTTGACTCTAATCTATGTCGTGACTTTATATTGGCAGGCTGCTGCGTGCACAAAATAAATAATTAAGTATCTCATACGTGAGCCGCGCATAATCGCATGTCAGCACGGTCGGCCCCCGGTGTGACTGTGGGTTAAAAGATCGCCGTCGAACTCTCCCCGATTCCCATTGATCAACGCGGACGACAGTACCAACGATTGGGCATTGACGAGCCTTGGAAGACGTCACCAGACACGGGTGGCGGTGTGCAGCCGCAGCCCGCGCGAGCGCCTGGCCAGGCCATTGCTGGAGGGAGTAGCGGGCTGCTGGACTGCAGCGCTGAGCCCCGCCGGCTACTCGCACTTGCTCTTGACGGTGATCATGATCATGTTGGTGTAGTAGATCAGGTACGTGGCCGAGACAAAGACGGCGCTGGCCCTGCGGCGAGGAGGGAGGGCTGTCGGCCAGCCGGGCGGCACGGCAGTATACGCTAAATACATGCTGGACGGTGCGTACTAGATTGGTCGAGAGATCAGCAATGCAAGAGATGTCAGCTTATGCGCCGTGTCCCGAAAATGTCCCGTAAAGGGCGGAGGTTAGCACTTCTTTATCCTACGACTGCAACCCGTCTGCACTACAAATCGGTTTGGCTGTGCACGTCTTTCATTTCGACCCAGGCTGGTGATGGTGGGCGTGGGGCAACACTCACTGTCCTTCCTTGAAGTACTCCTTGAGCGTGTTGCTGAACTTCTTGGAGTACTTGACGAAGTCGCGACGGCGATGGTCGAGCGCCTGCTTGCCGTGCGAGCCGGGGATGTACGCCGAGACGCCCTGCACCGCGTCCAGCAGCTTTTTGATGGCGCTGGCGATCTCCCTGCGGCACGGACAAAGGCGAAGACGGTGGTGAGGGCGGGAACGCTGCCAAGACCAGCTCAACGAACACACTACATGGTTGGGGAGCCAGGCCAGCGGCGGACGCCAGTGCAGGATCAGTGCAGGACAGTGCTAGGATCGGGAGACCACAGCCGGATGGCACAAACACCCAATCAGAGATCACGTACTCCGTCACCTTCCGCTCATGGGACACCTGGACACTGAACAGCCCGGGGCACGGAACAGGCGGATGCCAAGGTCTGAACAAACGCCGACAATTCTGCGGGAGTATCCGAATAATCGGGCAACTACATGGAAAGGGCCCACGTGGCCGTTGACTGCGATATTGCCGTCAACAGATGTCTCGAATCCAGTGCGGCGGTCGCTGACCCCACGTTAGTATGCGGCCACAAAGCAAACGCCTGCTCTGACCGGGCCGAAAGTGGGAGGGGAGGGTGTCAGCACGAAACATTCAACATAGGCGGGTGGCGACGACCCGACAGTGACATTACGACCGAAGTGGCCGCCAATCACGCCAATAACGAGGATGTACAAAGCGGCCGGACGCGCCCAGATAAGATAGCGTCCCCGGCCGGGCCTGCCGCCGCCGATACGGCCACTCGGTGCCTGAGGCCAGCGCGAAGGCTCCGGAGGAGAGGGCGGCCGCAGCGGCGCAACTCACCGCCCAGCAGGCGGCGTATCGCGGCCGCGGGGTCTTAGCGGGCGTTGGGACAGCCCCGACATGCACCATTCTTCATGGCATGACTGATTGGCTTCGCTGATACGGCTTCGCAACAGTGCAGCCTCATGCAATGCTTGTCGCTGAATATGCGCAAACACATGACCAGCGTCCAGCGTGCGCGGCGACTACAGGCGAGGATGTGGTATTTTGTCCATCAACCCCGGAATACCAGCCACTCAGAAATCCAATCTCAGTTCTTTGTAGACGCCCACAGGGTCCTCGTTTTCAAAATACACCAAGTTCTAAGCTAATCTGTGCATTGCTTTACCATTTCATCACAAATATTAGCGTCAAAATCACGGCCAGTCCGCGTGCGTGCACTAACTTGATGGTCTCCAGGAATGTTTTCCGGTCGGTGATCTCATCCGGAATCCGACTGAGGATGCGTTTCAAGCTGGACGACTTCTTGTTCAGCTCCTGGAACGGCTCCTCAGTGCGGCTCAGCCGATACTCAGCTGCAGGCCAGCAAACATCACTCCCATCAACATGTAACAACCATGCACAGTCTGTCGGCATGCACATTTTGCGTATTCCCTACAGCCACAAAAACTGCCAATGAGCTGCGTCTTTAAACAGAAAGATCAGCCACCCCAGCAATGTGATACAATAGTAGTAATTAGGCCTGTATAATTACCAGATGCCGGAAAACACGTACGTAACCACGCGCGTGGAACGTACCACTTCCACTACCACACGTCAAGCGGGGACCAGCGCTTCACAACAGTGCGAACCATCCCAAGAGAACACTGAACACGGGACACCCCGTGGCCACGTCCATCTGCATGACTAAGCATTGAGAGCCGTCGACTGCCTCTTAGTCGCTCACCGTCGTTGTCGCCGGCCGAGCCCTGCAGGCGCAGCAGGCTCTCGTGCATGTTCACGCTGACGTCGGCCTTGCGCACCAGGCCCATCACCAGATCGTAGGTGAAGCCCGGGTTGGCCGCCTCCACCTTGGTGAGCGCAGCGCGCAGTGTCTGGGTGGCGGCCACATCCTCCTTGTCCAGCTGTGAACCGGTCACACACAGCAGGCTAGGTGTGTGCACACATGATGCCAGTTACAGGACCACAAGCACAACCATAGAGGTAAATATCTGAATCCTACTTGCACCCTAGCTCATGTGCATCATCATGCACAACACAGTAAATGATGTCATCTTTTAATGCCACAATGCCACCTCGAGCATTACAGGCTTTTCTTCAAACTACAAGCAGAAAATTTGTATTTTGAACCAATTTCTTGGTGTTCATTGTACTTTCAAAGATACCTATAGGTTTTGAAAGGGCATCTACCATGTTTGCTTGCACCACAATGACACCCTGCACTAAATTAGAAAGGAATCTGAAGGGTATGTTTCACATTTGAAGGTATGGAGGAATGCATCAGATATCAATCAGTGAACTCACTTACAACTAATGGTTAACTTTTAAACTGAAAACACCGCTCTAGTCACCACAATTTCTCCATTTTATAAATACACTCCTCAATATGACATTGCTTCATTATGTCATAATGGATTGAGACACAACATGGATTGAGAGCCAATTGACCTCATTATATCTGAAAATCATGCCCAACAATGCCACATTTGAACAACTCAACAGTTGTATTTTTCTTGGCCTGAACAACTGCATGGTCAATGGAATGACAGCATTTATATGATATTATTATAACATGGATTACTGGGGACCCTAAAAGCCCCCCCCCCAAAAAAAAGGCTGCAAATTTTCACAGGGATGCAGCTCTGAGACTAGGGCTTTTAGGTCTGAAGAAGGGCAAGCAGTTAACTGCAACAAATGATCTCCAAGATGGTAATTTCAGTTCAAAGCCATATATAAATGTATAACATTCCCTTTAAACCAGGCATCTAATGACTGCTATATGTTTGGTCATGGCCTTTCTGCTGCATATGTAAAATAGTCTATGGTGTCAAACTTTACAAATGTATGGTAAAACACTGGAAGACCATGCCTTTGCAGAAAATCATGACAGCTGGCTTGGGGATGCAGATGTGGGCAAAAATGCAAGGTATTTGAAGGAACACGAGTCCAGTGTGTTTCAGCTCGAACAAGCTATGGCACCACCACCTTTAAAGAATCTTCTGATTTGTGTTTTACATCCTAGACATGCTTAGGCAGGAATTCCTGAATAAAGGTGCCACACAGCAACATGGGGCGGGTTCTGATCTGGAGCGCAGGCTGAGGGGACGCAAAATGCAAGGTCTAAACAAGAGCAGCCCCTTGGGCAACTTCACCATATTTGGCTCAACTAATCGAATGATCTTCATTGCAGCCATAGCACGCTCTTCAGTCCTGCATGTAGCTGTTCACACAGCCTACAGCTAAATCTGCGATTGAAAATTAAGTGCTGGGGTAAGAAATGGCATGAAGCTTAGGCTCATACCATATGGCACTGCTTTTGCTGGACAGCTAAAAATGTTATGCACAATATCACACAAAATGGGCCAGGCAGTGTGAATGCTTCAGAGCATGGGCTTTATCATGCATAGTCATAATATGCTGCATGCAATTATAATTGCTGTCAATTTGCATTGTAAAACACAGATGTAATGCAATGCATAGTGCTAAGGGTAATGATTGACAGAAATATGTGAAGTGGTTTGCCAAAAACTACTGGAGAACATCTCCCTCATCATCAAATGCCAGCCTGTGACTGATGCATTGCAATGCATTAAAGCACAAAAGCTGATGACCCCACCCAAACATTTTATTGACAAATCTGTTACTATTGCAGACTGGAATGTGTCCTGCCAAATACCAACATCTGCTGTAACAGCAATTCATTTTATCATTCTGAGGTACCTAAAACTCCTGAGAAGCATGAAACATGTTTCCCTCCACTCCCAGCTACATTGATTGTAAGCTCTATGACTGTGCATGGAAAGATACACAATACAACTTATGCTGGCCCCCTATCTCCACAGAAGTTCTGCCACCAATAAACTGTATAGCCTGCAAACACACATTCTGCCACTTGGTCTGTCTGTCCCTGAAATTCTTGTGGGCTAAGTTCAGCCTAAGTTCTGGTTCCCTCAAACTTTCAGAATTCTTGCAGTTAGTGAGCTTGTGGGCACTTCAAAGGCATGGAACTTCAAATGCATATATCATCCTTGAAATCACTATGAAATCTTTATGGCAGTGCAATGAAATGCAAACAACCTTTCTATCAGCCAAGGTGCAGGATGAGTGTGGACTTCCCTGCATCATAAATACTTACTTGAGAAAGAACCGGCCTTATAAGGACTGGCAAAACCAGGGAAGATACAGGTGAATCATCTCCCATGGTCATTTTTCTCTTCGCGGTTCAATAATAAGCAGCGCTTTCGAAGTTTACTGATCTTCTAACTGGGATAGAATCGCGACAACCCTTTCACAGACCACTCCGGCGCACACCTAATACCAGAACCAGGCATGAAGCACCTGTAAAAGTGACAGACCTGATGAACATAATACATGGGTCATACACACTTCATTCTATTCGCACTTCTGCAATATCGACGGAATTCTTAAGAAATCAGTAACTAAAGTACGCTGACCCAGCGCCGTCCCCGCCAACTCAACAATGCGCACCGCAAACAGCTTCACCTAGGGGCTGGCAAATTGGATATATGCTACCAAATTCAGCAGAACATCACCAAAATACTTGACCTATCTAGAATACCGCCATATAATACAGAATACCGCCGGAATACCCTGAAGTTTCTTCTGAGCCAGAGCTTTTTCCCATCTCGGTCGACGGTGCGGAAGTCGCGAGACAAATATTGGCCTTGGGTTCCTTATTTGCCAATCGTAAGGGGACATATCATCGTTCCAAGGGTGGTTGACAAATCAGAGACCTGAATTAAAAGTCTTCAATGCGAAACCCTAAACCGCATGCCGAGTGAAGTTTGCGGCAGCACAAAGCTCGAATCCACCGAGCAAATTGCCTGTCAACATATACCAGACGTTTCCGAATTGGTAGGGCACATGGGGTTTCACTCAACTGTTCAGCATTCACTTCATTCACTACTGGAACTCTATGAGGTTCAAAGCACTGTCGGAAGTGTTTTAAAAGGAAACTTATAACGTGAGGGTGCATTGCCACCGACTTAGAGTATTTAGTTGCCTGATTTTGTGCTGCGCGATGTTCGCTCCTAAGTGCGTCATAATCTGTCTCAGACGAACCTCGGGAGGAGATTTCCAGGAAATCTTGCGGGAGCGATTAAACAAACTATCTACGTTTCATTTGCCTGTCCCTCACTTGGTGCATATTTAAGTACTTAAAGTAGATCAAGGCACCATTGAAGCATCCGCTGTCGTCATTGTCTCGCCCACATGCCGAAGTGAAAATCAGGAAGCTCTGCTAAACGGGTGGGTTGAACGTAATCGGCTAGAAGGTAAATTACTACTGTTCGCTATGTGTTTTGGCAGCACCGTCGCTGCATGCTCTGCACACGGAATGTGAAAATTGCACTCAAATGTGCTGTAGTTCATACTGGCATGCACAGTCTGTGGAGACTGCATTTGAGGCACTTCCAGTCAGTGATGGCCATTCCCCCTAAGCTTTATTTCTTGCTTAGCCAACTTTGGTGTTTAGAATCACGCAGAACTATGGTATGTTTGGATTCAAAAAGAGAAAACATTTATGGCGGTGGTATGGCAGTTGATGGCATTGTACTCTTTCAGGAAGCGGAACACATTTTTCCAGTTCAGGACCGACCAAATAATAACCAATAGTAAGGCTGGCTTCATTGGCATACTTGATTTTGAACCAAATCTTGGCTGCCAAGGTACACAACTGCTAATATGTTAACAGCTAAATGTGATGATTTGTACTTGAACAGCACCACAGCAGGAATACAGAACCAGATAGGTAGTTAAGCATGAGGCAAGCTGATGATACTCACACTGTGGAATACCTTGTTCCTGATATTCAATTGACAAGGCAAAAATGCAGTGTATTATGATGTTATCAATACCAGAAAATTTATATTTTATCATGCTTTACCTGCAACATTGTTTTTGTTGAGTGGTGTCACCTCTATTATGCACCAATGTGCACCAAAAGGCTATTGCTGACATTCAAGCTATAATTTTGCTCTCCAAGTTTTTTTCTGGGGAAACTCAGAAATTGGTTTGATGTGGTCCAAAGCTCCATAGTTGCTCTAGGAGCTCCTTAAAATAATGCTTGACTCTCTTTTCTTGGAATCCATAAGATGCTAGGAAACTGAGGCAGCTTCCATGAGGATCTGCAGCTCTATATATATCCTTACATATTATCATGGTAATTAGATGATAAGAAAAAAACAAAATGTGATGCTGCTGAAAAATTATATTCAGTGTAAGTCACTGTAAATTGCCTCACAACTGACCTGTCAAAACATTAAAAAGTGGTATGTGCTGCTGCTTAAAACTGTGGAAACATTTAATCAGTAATTGCAAAGAATTAGAGCAAAGACACCATAGCAGCTGACTGGGCAGGGATGCTGAAGCTTAACATTTGCTTGTAGCTTGTTAGGTCTAAGCCTGTGATCACAATTAAAACAGGTCACTGTGACTTGATAAATTGTGCTAGGAAATCAGTGAACAAGGCCAAAACCCAACAGGTCAAGAGTGTTGGTGTATGTTTTGTGTATAATCTCTGTGTATGCCAACATGTGGTTCTAGCAGAAAGAAATTCCACGTACACATGCATGTATCAATCTGTATGTACATAAACATGGTCTTTTAGAAGAAAGAAATCATAAATGCCTATTCACTTCATGGGTTTTATCATCAGCTAGGTAAGATGTCCTATAACTGCCCTGGCTCCCAGCTCTATGCTTATAACTCTATCATCCAAATGAAAAAGTGTGTGGTTCTGGTTTGAAGATGGGGTTACTTAACCTCTGCATGCATCCCCTAACTCCAAATTTGGAACACTGAATGCCAGGTTGTGACTGTTAATTTCTGGGACAGTAGTTCCCTCTGCCTGGAGGTGGGTATGGGGCCACATAGGTGTGCATCTGGCAAATAGACAATATCTCAAACTTCACTGCTGGGCAGAGGGAGGGGGACAGAGACCACATTTTGCATGAAACATGATGAGCTTAAGTCATCTTTTATTTAATTTTGAGTTTTTTATTTTGGTCAAATATGTAGTATCAATATCAAGTCAAGTAAGCTGAGATAGCTGGTGTAGGGGTGTGCCAAGCCCATACAAAGAAGAACAAAACAGTGCATGTGTGATAATGTACAAACAGCACCACATGGCACCTTGCAGTTTGACACACAGCTGATGTCTAATTATATACAAACAGCAGCACATGGTATCTTGTGGTTTTAGCTTACATGCTGTGTTACAGCAGGGACATTTTCTGGTGATCAGTCATAGTGCCCCCTTCAGTAATCCCCATCTCCCTTCACAATGTTATGTGAGCATTCTACTAATAGTTGGATAGGTACATCTTTTGTGCTGTGTCAAACAAAGATGTTTTTAAATGTTATCAAACTTGGATTGTGTTATTCATTTTGGTGACATGCTGTGCATGCCTTCCTTTAGACTTTTTCAAAGTTGTGGTGTCAGACCATTATCTGAGAAGTAGTCCTAACTTCCAAAATGGCTAGCATCAAGGGTAATATTTGCTCTCACTGGTTCACATCTGTGCTTCCCATTGCTGCCATACTTTGCATTGCTTTTTTTACTATCCTCTGTCACATGCTTATGGCTTGCAGTCCACAAATTGTGGCTCTTCAGCACCAAAAGCATAAGAGGGCTTTGGTTTTTAATGTTCAAAGAGGGGATGGATGAGGGGGGTGTCCGGTCCCAGCCGCCGGCCATCACCCACGTGTCCACCAGCAGGTTGGCGCCCAGTTCCAGCTGCCTGCCATCACCCACGTGTCAACCAGCAGGCCGGCGTCTTGCTGACGACTGGTGAGCGCCGGTTCGACCCGAACAGCCTGCGGCGATCGCCCGTCCATAGCACCAATGGCGCTCAGACGCAAACAGGAGGAGAAGAACCTGCAGCTGCTGCGCGAGCTGGCGGCACAGCAGCACAACAAGCAGTGCCTGGACTGCGGCCAGCGCGGCCCCACCTATGTCAACATGACTATTGGCTCTTTCGTCTGCACCTCCTGCTCGGGACGGTTGTAAGTGTGGCCGCACCGCCTCACGATGGGGTAGAATGTCATGCAGCATATGTTGCCATATGCATGCTGATGATGCTCTAAGCACACCTTACTTGAGAGCATGCTCATCACATTCCATCAGCACTTTTATGTATTCATTATGTTCATGTTCGTGGATGGCCTGAGCATGTTGACTGGGCTAGGAGTTCACCGGGTCACGTCATGCGTCACCCTTGATTACCGCCACTGCTGGGTTTTGTCTGGTTGGCGATCATGGCCGCCAGCAGTTGGTTGGCTAGTTTGTGTGAGTCCAGTCCAGAATCCGGGTCTCATCTGATGGGACCCTTCTAGAAGGCATGTTGCGCTTGTGGGTCGGGTGCACGCAAGGACGGCCTGGTAGTGCGACCTTGTATGGAGTTGGTTTGCACATCGATAGGGAAGACCGGTAGGCTCCTGACTGGACTATGTGGGGATCTTCCCACATCCTGTGTTTGAGCGAACATGTACCTGAATTTTCCCAAAAGATCCCAGGATCCTATAAATGTGGAACCTGATGGGGTCATGTCATGCAACATGGAAAATAGGCGAGGAGAAACCGAAAGCGCACATCTGTGGCAACATGAGCGTCACGACAGTGACCAGACGTCAGCCAAACTTGCCCTTAGCCAAAATCGCGCGTGTGTTCGCCATGAGGTCTCCGTGATCTGTGGCCCGTCTCCTTGACGAGATGTTTTTCCGCCACTACAGACGAGGCCTGACACCTCCACATCGAGTCAAGTCCATATCTATGGCCAGCTTTTCTGCCGAGGAAATTGAGTTCATCAAACAGCGTGGAAACGAGGTATGCTGTAGTGCTGCCTGGCGGATAACCCTCGTCTCCAGGAGGTGCGACAGACCTCTGCATGGAGTACAGCCCGTCCCCCCGCTGGCACTGCATCCCATGCGAAGAAAGCTACGACTGAAAATCGCTGCCTGGCGCCTATGTGTTTCCATTGGGTTTCCGAGGTGATTTTATATGGGCGCTGCTACCTTTTCCTGTTAAAATTGAACCAGTCGCACATATCCAATTTAGGCACTTGCGATCCAGACGGCAAGGTTCGTTCTCCCTGGTGCGTCTGCAAGAGTTTGTGTTTCCCGTTTAAAAGAAAAATTATCGCAGAATCTTTTATTCGTAGCACATCACATGAGAAACGCACGATCGCCATAGGTCATTATTGCTATGAACTGGATGTGCAACAGACCAAGGCCTGTATTCATTGGCATCAATGCGGCTTTGGAGCCGGTCGGCCGCTGGCCAGGTGCTGCACGTGCAGTGCACTGGCGCCTGTAGGTGAACTGTGAAAACTTGGCACTTGACGCACACGACATGATTTCCTCTTTTCGAGCATCACCGGTCTGCTGTAATGCATACAGCATTGAGCTGCTTTTTTACTTCAGTGCGAGTGGAAATGGCTCCCTATTCACACACTGGTAGCACAAGTGTGCATTCTCGTCTCACGCTCAAGTGATAGGTGATGCGAGCTTCCGTTACCAACATCCAATGTATTTAAGCTGGTTTTGATGGGCAAGCAGTCTACTTGGGCGAAAGGAACTCAACTTGTGCTTGCCATGTGCATGGATTTTTTACTGGAATATCTGCACTCTTGAGTGCATCCAGTTAAGAAAATGGCGTGATTCCAATTAGTACTGCGAGATTGCAGAGTTACTTCCAGAATTAGGTGTGCTCCGATTCGCGGTCCAATGGCGAGTTCATAAATGGATTGAAAATTTGTGTACTTGTGGTGGAAAATGAGATAAAATGATGTGGAAATAGGAGAAATAGAAACTGTAAAACCTCCTAAAATGGACCGCAAGTTGGATTTGGCACTCCGGTTTTACATTCTGGCAGTTCAGCCCCCCACGTCTGAGCATACCTTACTGTTACGTCTATTACATCACATCTTTACATAGCATACCGAATGTAGCAAAGGCCCACAAAGGAACCCGCCGACACCAACTCGCATTACTGAGTGACCAGCGGTGTGGGAAAATACCCAGAAAAATGGGCGGCTTTTTAACTGGTGCGATGCTTCCGTCCCATGGTCTTCCCTTTGCTGAACTCGAGCTACTACTTACCGTGTCTTGCTTTATGTGCTGCAGTGGTGTAAAGCGGTGTGGCTAGGCTTGCTTGACCCGAGCCGGCATCCAGAGGCAGACTCCAAGGAGGACCAGCAGATCAAAGACTTCATGGCTGTGAAATACGAAAAGAAACGGCAAGTGTCCCCCGCTAAAGATCTGTGTTTTCAGCTTATTATAATAGTCAAAGTCATTTCTGTGGTAATGTTTCGGTGGCACCTCAATCATTTGAACACATGTTGCGACTGGTGCGTTACCGCTGCCTTCCAACCTGCACATGCGGGGCTTAATTCTTCCTTGAATTAAATAAGTTGCAGTGATGTTTGAAGATGACGAAAGCGGAAGTGCGTTCTCGGTTAAAAAGGTGTGGTGGTATAGTTCATCTGTTCCGCTGTGTTTCTACGATACGGGCGTGTCCAGTTTGCGGAACGTGTTGGCTTGCGCTTCTCTCCCAGAGCTGGCTCCGCCGCGCGCTGACTGGACATTCACGCCGCAGATACTACGTGGACCCGAGCGTGGCCTTCAAGGACGGGCCGGCGGGCGGTCAGCATTCGCCGCCGGCGGCGAGCGCGGCGCCGGCGGCCGAGCCCGTGCCGCCCGTGCGGCCCCTCTCCAAGTTGGCCGGCGGACCCGTCAAACCCATAGTACTCAATCAAAACGTGAGCACGCCACGCGTGGAGCGGGACGGCGGGGATGCGCGGGGCTGGCCTCGCTCGGCACCGTATAGCCAGTTCTGGACGCGCTAGGCGAGACCTATATGGATATGCTATCCAGTCCTAGGGACACTGGGCTGGGCCGGATCCAGACTTCAGATTCGTGTGCAGAGTACAGGGAACGTCGTAGAAGGTCGCGTATAGATCCGCTTGTGCAGCTCGCAACACACTGGGCTTTGTATCCGAGTACAGATATTTTGACTTAACCCTGAGTATGCTGTATGGGGCTGCCGTGGACCTGATTATGCTGTATTGGAGTGGGGACGGATCCTATTGTGCAGTACTGGGCACAGTGGGCTTGTCTGGGCACACCTTTATTCTGGTTTGATGCATATCATGGAACAATGAAGCGTTGCCTTGGAGGGCATCCGCGTGAATGGACACTAGCTACTGTCAGCCTTTTTTTTGCCGTGCAAACTACAGTACAGTTTGACCTTGGCTTGGGTGGTATCACTGGTGCGCAACTGTGCCGCGGTCGGTCCGTGTCTCACCCCCCAACTCCCCTCAGGATCCGACCCGACCCGGCTCTGACCCGTTCCACATCCGTCAGAAGGCGGCGTCCGGCGCGGCCCCGTCCCGGCCCACCGAGAAGAAGAACATCGACCTGCTGGCTGACCTCAGTCCGGTCACCTCGTCCGCCCAAGTTGACCCGTTCTCGCCGACCGGTGGCGGCGGCGCCACCCGCGCGCCGCCGGCCACCGCCAACTTCGCCAACTTTGCCAACTTCGACTCGCTCAACGCGTCGTCGCAGCAAACAGGTACAGACGCAGGTCAGTTGGCGAACGCCAGCCAGTTCCCAGCTTTTCGGAAACTGGTAGCGGTAGTGAAACTATACTTAAATGTCTCCATTGCTCTTGACGTCGGTCAAGTGTCATTCGTCGTGGAATGGCATGTTTATTCTCGCTTGTGGCTCCTTCAGCTTCACGTGTTACTGCAAAGAAAGCCGCTGTTATCTCTTGAACTTCTCGTGGTGGTCAGGAACAATGCAAAGGTGGGTTTTGCCAGTCTCAAGATCCATTCGTGAAGTCATAAGAATGGTTTACAAAGCTCCGCTGTTATTCATGAAAAGCTTGATTTTGTGAGATACGCGTGGATTTTATGGATCAGCGGTCAGCGTGCTGTGCGCTGCATTCGGTGGTTAAGTTTCCACCTACACTTGTCCCCAGATGATTTGTTGTGTACATGTACATGCACGCCTGTGCCCGCCGGTGAACGGACACGTACATTACTTGACGGGTGCACCCTAACCTGGCTTGCTTTCTTGCTTTTTCTTGAAAACTGGAGGTTTACCCCTTCGGATATCCATTGGAAGCCTCGTCATAAGCAGCGCCTGCATTCTGCGAGCATTTACTAGAACAGATCTTAGACAATTCTAAACGTGGCAGATTTCAAAAATGTTGGAATGTTTGGTGGGATAACGTGGACCTCACTCACTTTCTGATATGAAGTTGAAATAAAGTACTCATAGTTGGCGGCCCTCACTTTTATCATCGCCCGGGCATATCTCAAAAACTGTGGCCTGAATAGGCTTACTCTGACGCCGCTGGTCGCCTCGGGCCCTCTGTGTGACCGTCACCGGGTGCCTCGGGCCCTCTGTGTGACCGTCACCGGGTGCCTCGGGCCCTCTGTGTGACCGTCACCGGGTGCCTCGGGCCCTCTGTGTGACCGTCACCGGGTGCCTCGGGCCCTCTGTGTGACCGTCACCGGGGGCCTCGGGCCCTCTGTGTGACCGTCGCCGGGTGCCTCAGGCCCTCTGTGTGACCGTCACCGGGTGCCTCGGGCCGTCTATGTGTCTGTGTGACCGTCATCGGGTGCCTCGGGCCCTCTGTGTGACCGTCACCGGGTGCTTCGGGCCCTCTGTGTGACCGTCACCGGGTGCCTCGGGCCCTCTGTGTGACCATCACCGGGTGCCTCGGGCTGTCTGTGTGACCATCGCCGGGTGCCGTCTGTGTGACCATCGCCGGGTGCCGTCTGTGTGACCGTCGCCGGGTGCCTCGGGCCCTCTGTGTGACCGTCGCCGGGTGCCTCGGGCCCTCTGTGTGACCATCGCCGGGTGCCTCGGGCCCTCTGTGTGACCATCGCCGGGTGCCGTCTGTGTGACCGTCACCGGGTGCCGTCTGTGTGACCATCGCCGGGTGCCGTCTGTGTGACCATCACCGGGTGCCTCGGACCATCTGTGTGACCATCGCCGGGTGCCGTCTGTGTGACCGTCGCCGGGTGCCTCGGGCCCTCTGTGTGACCGTCACCGGGTGCCGTCTGTGTGACCGTCACCGGGTGCCTCGGACCATCTGTGTGACCACCGCCGGGTGCCGTCTGTGTGACCGTCACCGGGTGCCTCGGGCCCTCTGTGTGACCGTCACCGGGTGCCTCGGACTATCTGTGTGACCATCGCCGGGTGCCATCTGTGTGACCGTCGCCGGGTGCCTCCAGCCGTCTGTGTGACCGTCACCGTGCGGTCAGGTGGCCGTCGCCCGGCGGGTGCCGTGCCGACGCCGTTCGCCAACTTCAGCTCGCCGGCCGCAGCCCTCTCGGCCGTGCCGCTCTCCACGGCCGCAGCCACGCCTACGTCCGCGCCAGCGCCGGCACCAGTCCCGGCCCCGGCCGCTGCAGGCGCCGGCGCCGGCGGCGACCGTTACGCCGCGCTCAAGGAGCTGGACGAGGTGCTGAAGGCTGAGGTGGATCCCAAGCTGGACTGGGCCACGACGGCGGCCAGAGGTGAGTGGCCGCGCCCAGTCGGCTGCGGTTCTGCCATCTGTCTGTCTGTCGAATCTCGTCGCTCGCCTCACGGGTGAAGCCCGGAACTAAACGCGACGAGGCTGGAATGACCAGGCCGGCGTCAAGGCCGACAACCTAAGCCTCTTCTACATATGCCTGTTCCTACTTTGCTGGTCGTTTTCACCTTGGCTCGGGAAATCGCCAACACGACGGTCTGCCGCTTGAATCAAATGCTCGAACGAGAGTTTTACTTCTGCATTTCAGTCGTGGCCACCATTGCGACCGCATCTTCTTGTTGCATTGTGTGGTTTTTGGCTCTTAGTTTTCGAAACCTGCATCTAGAGCAGTGCAATGCTGTGAACTACGACCGCTGGCTTGTAAACCCTACAATAGCTCATATTTAGTGGCAGCTTTTCCATGCGTCTAAAGCTCATTTGATCTGCTGAACCGAGCATAATAGTGGTCTCCATCTGAGCACATCTAGGTCTCCATTCTCCTCTCTATTCTACGAGGAATAACGCTATTAATACTGGCATCTAGAGATGCAATGACATTGAATACACTAATGCAATGGCGTTGATATCCAACCAGGATCTCCTGTGGGGTACCGGTAGTGTAGAAGTTAACGCGTCTGCGTTAACCACTGCGCGTCTGGGAAACCAGAGGTACGGGGTTCGATCCGGATCTCCTGTGGGCCTTCCGGCTGGCATAGGGCATATTCAGCTCACAGCATGGCCTCAGTACAGGCTCCGCTGCTCCTGTCCCGTTTGTCATCACACTCCCGGTGACGACATGGGCTGGCCGACATTCACCGCCTTGTGTCCCACCGGTTGGCGCCATATCTGCCAGCTTTTCGGGGCCGTCTGCTCACCCGGTCGTCTTTGCGCTCGCAGAGCCGGCGCCGGCCAGCCAGGGCTGGGCCGCGTTCGGCAGTGGGCCGGCTATGACGCCGAACGGGCCGGCCCCGTACGGCCAGAGTCCGCAGACCAGCGCCTACGGCCAGAGTCCTCAGACGGCCGGTTATGGCCAGAGCCCGCAGCAGCACGGTCTGGCCGGCTTCGCGCAGGCGCAGTACGTGCCGGCCAGCGCCAACGGCTACGCGCCAGGTGAGACTCGGCCTGCGGGCGAAGCGTCCGGCGCTAAGGCGGGGAGGCTGGGCGCGACCCAACCAACACGAGACGTTTTTCTCGGCGGCGACGACAAGCGTCGCATGCCGCTGATGGGCAGGCAGTGGCTGGAACCGCCACCTGTGGCTCTCGCCCGTCGTGCTGCGCCAAACGGCTTGTGATGAGGTGGTCCGATCGGTACGCTCTCTGCTGCCGGGTCGGGACAGTAGAGTTGTCAAAGCGCATTGGTGGAGCGGCGAGGCGACGACGTGGTCGGCACCCGGCTTGGATTGGGGGCCGGCTGCTTTGTTGCTGAGCCGGGACGTGGGTGTTGGCCATGCCGCGATCCTGGCGCGTGCTGACCGACTGGCCGGCTGCCAGGGAGCCCGTGGCCGCAGCCTGTCTGCCCGCCCGCCTCCTTCGGCCCCTACAGCCCGGCCGGATATGGCGGCTACCGACAGCCGTACATGAGTCCGTACGCCGCCCCGGTGTCAGGTCAGGCCACCGCCTGCACCCCGCCCCCTCTCCCCTGGGGACAAGTGTAATTGTTTTCCTCGGCCCGACCGCGCTGTCTAGCGACCGGCAGTCGTGCTGTCATGGCTGCTGTGTTTCGTGGATGTGGCTTTGGTGTGGCACGCTTGTCCGGTATTGTTTTGCCTTTTTCGGCATGGCTTGCCCTTGCTTGCCCATGGGCACGCAATTACATGTAACATTACATGACAGTGTCTATCTTGCAACGCCTGACCGCTGACCGCGCGGGATCCGGTGATGCTCATAGTGCACGCATTTCATAAGTGATCCTTATTGGTGGAGCTTCGTGTCGTTAATTTTGCCAGTGGTGTCGTCCAGTGACGTTTTGTTGGGTGTTGCACTCCGCAACCAGTTGGATTTCTGCTACTATTATTCCGCTTGGTTCGCGTACTAGAATAGTCCCGTAACAGCTGTGCTTCATGTATCTACGTTTTAGCACAGATCATAGTGCAGGTTTTATTGGTGAATGTTGGCGATCCTGCTGTGCTGAGTGGCGTATTTATGTCCTTGCTCTTAGAATTCAACCAAGGCAAGACAAGATATTGAACTGAACCGCATTCACTGGCGCCGTTCACCATGAGCCCTTGTCATCGCTCCGCTTTGCACCAAACTCTAGCACGTCATTGCGCGCGGATATATTAGCAGTTCCCGGAATCAGAAGATGAACGCAGTGCATAGTCGGGGCCTCGGAGCAGTCGCGACTTTATCTTTGAATGCATGCTTGTTCCATGGCACAAGTTGAAATATCTTGCTTCTCTTTGCGCCATATCACTCTTTTGGAATGGAGTTTTATCTGCCAAATATTTGTCACTCAGCCGTCAAGTAATGCCGTCTGTTGCCGTAATGTGGCGGCCCGTATCGCTGAGTCGTTCGTGCTGCTTGCAGAGATGGGCTTATCGGGCTACGGCGCCACCAATGGCTCGTCGGGTATGCTGCCAGGCGGCCAGTGGGCGGCGCCGGGGCCGCAGGCGGCCGGCTGGGGCCCATCGGCGCCCGCCCCGCCCGCCGCTAACCCCTTCATGGTAAGGCGCTGGTACTAGCGCCGCGCGGGCTCCTTCGCCAGCTGGGTGTGCCCGCGTGCGCGTATGTGTGTGTGTGTGTGGCTGCGGCCGCGGTCGCGGAGTCAGCCAAACGGCGGTGGCGCATGCGAGCGTGTCGTGGCCCGGGCGCGCTTGAGGCGGCGGCAGGCGACAGGGGCGTCGGTGAGGTGCCAGGTCCTGGCGCGGCGCCACAACAGCCACCACCACCGACGACGCCTCACTGGAGCGCCACCGAAGAGATCATTTGTCCTGCCCTGCGTACCGTAATGTTTTCTCGCCTGGTATGTCTTCGCCGGTTGAATGCAGGGAGTCGGCGTCGACAGCGACCGGGGCCACGTGCACCTACCCCGACCGCCCGGCTTGCCGTTTTGTGATAACAGTGAGCCACTTTCTGGGGTCGTTAGCTGTGTTGCCAGTGTGACCAGTACCATTGCCGGAGTAGTGCCGGGTATGGCATGCATGGGATTGTTCATGCGTCGTGTCGCTGCACCGCCTGTGTGTTTCGACGTTTTATGTTGCGCGTGGGGCGAGTAGTTTGAGTCTTTTGGCAGTTCATGCTTTGCAAGCTTGGCCGCGCGGTGGAGTCCCGGCCCGCCCGCGTTGGGAGCGTCCTGGAAGCCGCATGGGGCCAGCACGGCTCGGCTGCTGCACTGAGTCACGCTTGTTTCCTCTGTTCGCAGTCCTGCAACGGCAGCACGCCAGTCAACCCGCACAACCCGTTCCTTTGATGGTGGCTCGGCTCGCCCGAGCGTGAACTGTCGCGCCCGACCGGCCGTTACCATCACCCCGCCCCCCCCCCCCCTCCGTCTGCCTCTGGAGCGCGCGCGCGCCCCATGGCGCACCGTCAGCAGTATGATTGTGATATTGAGTTATGGATGCGGCATGGCTCCGCCCCGCACCTATTCGACGCTTGGTTGCGGTCGATCCGTGGTTTGCCCTCATTTACTTTCGAGCTTCTGTTGCAAAGCTGCAGGGATAATGTTTTGGTGTGTTTAGTGCTTTGTCTCGTATTCTCTGCCCAGGGCGGGTGGTCGGCCCGGCTCCTATTCGGACCTGATGCTGGCTGCACCGGCAGCGGGCACGCGCTCAGGTTGCTCAGACACTTTTTATGACGAGTCACCAGCTCGGCCTCGCCCGCCTTTCCGGCATGTCCGCGCTCTCGTTATCCGTGTCGCCGTCGTGGGCTGGAACGTGGGCATCCGGCGGTGGCCCGTCCGGTTCAAAATTGTGTTTGACACTACGCTGTGACATTGAATGTGCAATCTTTCTAGGGGTTGGTGCGCTTGCAGGCCCTGCCTATTCTCGCAGGCTGTTGACGGTTTTCCGGTAGTGTGCATCGAGTGTGGTGAGATGGCATTCCATCCCGGGTACCCTCAAGCTCGCCATCACTTGGCACGCGTCAAGTGGCGCCAGCTATTACTGTTGGTAATGTCTGGCTCGTGCTTGGGACTGGGCTCATGTCCTTCTTGCAACGAATGTCTTGCGCGCACAGCAGTAGATACGTATGCATCGGGATAGTGATGGCCACTTTCCTGGGCTGGTACCTGCGGCCCGTTCTGTGTCCGCCGCTTCTGGCGGCCTCCACACTCACATTCTGGTCCGAGGTGAACCGGTGGAAGGACCAGCGGTAAGACCATCCCCCACGCTCTCCACCAGCCCTGACGTATACTCACGCGCCGGGAGAGCGAACCGGCGCTCTCCTGACCCCTCCCCCTCTTCGCGGTCGTTCGGGCACCCCGGGGGCACCGCCACCGCCCACGCTTCGATCTGGACTGGTCCCTACGCTCTCCGTGGGCGCCCCTTAGCACTGGAACATGGCGCTGTATTCGAGCTGCGTGGTTCGCCGTAAGACGCCTCCGAACTCTTGTTCTCTGAATAATGTGGTTGTCTGTATGGTGCTTCGTGTGCGCATTTTGCGACCACAGGGCGGGCAAACGCCCAGCTGTCAAGAGACGGAAGTGACGGTGTTTGTGTGTAATATATCATGTTATCCTATCGTCAGTATCATATTAATAAACTCGTGATTTTATCGTGTTTTTGTGCGGACATAGTTTGGGGACCTTTACGTGTCGCACCATTCGACCACGGGACCGGTCATTTTGTGCGTCATATGCCCGCTGCTGGTAAATAAATAAGTTTGAGCGGTGACCGCAACCTGAACATGATGACGCAAAAACGACGTGCTAAAGCCTTATAACAACCACTGATGACCCCAGACGTTTGAGAAACGCTGCAAGGTATTGGTATTGGTGTTGGTTTTGCTGGCGCGCCGAATATATTTCCGTCATCCGACACTATTGGTCAGAAGAGCCATGAGTGATTTCTGGCTAGCGCACATTTGACCGAATCCACTCAAAAATATTTTTTTAAATAGGCTTTAAATAGGCTTTTTAAAATGAGGCTTCCGAAGACATCTAGTGCAATGCCCCGAATGATCAGATTATTTAAGTCGCAAAAAACAGACAGCTCTAACAAACCCCGAAATACTGAAACGCCATTTCGTGGGCTTTGCATTCGGCCTTAATGTTATCGACAACTCCGCAAAGACTGAAGCCGCTGCATAATGTAGTCACTACATAATTGCCATAGCGCAAGACAAATCCCCTCGCATGATAAAATATGGATCGCATCCGGAGAAATTCCGCAGTGCCACAATTGTAACACAATTTTCGGCAGCCCAGATTCTCCTACAGAACCACAAAACAACATAACCAATAAAGTGACATGCTAGGGCAAATTACAGAGCCAGCACCATGTTAATCATAATGACACGTTTACCTAAGTATGTCCGACTCACAGCGGACCAACACTGGCCCGAGAAGTTGATGATGTTGCCGGTTTTGGAACTGAATAATACCGACCGCTTTGGCCTAAACAGATAAAATGGGTCACGAAAACTTGACATACGACGCCAAATCCATGGCCACCAACGCCTACACAAAACAGCCGCATCATTTGCGACATGGTGTCAATAAGAAACACCAAAGATTCCGAGCATATCAACCCCGTCGAACGAAATGGCCAGGCATGGCCTGATCCATTCACATTCAATTTACAGGAAATCTGATTGCTGGTTTCGCTTTCAGACCGCATTACGCTGAGCCTCTTTGTGTACTAGACTCTCATGAAAGACAGACATTCCAAGGCACTCAAAAGACCTACTTGTATGGCGTTAACCAAACGCGCCTCGCTCCATTTGCTTAGGTCTTGACATGACCAACCTGAAAATAACGCTTACTTTTGTTGTCAAGTCAAAAAACGGGTAACTAGCAATTTCACAATTGTTCAGAAGAACGTTTTTTGTGCTTTTTCGGTGTCATGGCCGCAAATGAGACTGAATGAGTAGAAATGGTGCACCAATCGGATGAGAAAAAAAAACATGTCTCTTTCTACCAATGAGAAAATGAAGGGCAGTACGTATACATCCCCCGAACGGAGGGCGGTTGCGCACCGGGCTTATACACCCTCCAAAACAGAGGCCGGTTACGCATCGGGTTCATACACCCTCCAAAAATGTTTCAGATGGCTGTACGTGCCAAGCATACTCGGATTGGCAGCCTTGGAAGAAAGAAAGTGCAAAAATGCAGAAGCCCGTGCGAAAAGTCCGTTCCATGCGAGATAGACATAAAATGATCACGAAATCCACCAACTCGCTCTGTACCATTTCTATTCTAATCACGAATTTTTGGTCGCCGGGCCCGCATCTCCAATGGATGGATGGTTAGCGTGCTGATCTCGCACGCGGCAAGCCCGGGTTCGAATCTCGACGACGGCCGCTGTTAAGTGGGTGGCTTCATGGTTTATCGGCGCGACGTGCTGATGCCAACCAGGCTCACTTCTAAGCGGAATAACTTCTAAATGGGGGTTTCATACCGGGCAGAGCCGTAGTTTCTAATGCTAGGGGGAGAGAGTCTGCACTCTACAGAGATATTAAGATTGGTTGAAGTGAAGGTTGACCGTAAATCTAATTGAGTCTGACACACTGGATAGCCAGTGGAAATGACGCATACGACGGCGGAGGCATGTAGAATTACGTTCGGCAACTGCGCGTAAAAATTCATCGGCGCGTATTCGACTGCTGCTCAGAGGCGACGGCACCAAGACCAATAGGGACGGAATCTGAGCGGTCATGGGTGCCGCAGGAGACCAACAAGTTAAGTGTCCTCAGAGCAAGCAAAAAGAACTCAAGTGGCGGGCCAACGTGGTGGGCTCCTAAACGATCGGTAGTGCCTCGACAGGCTGACTTATGAAGCCCCGGTCATAGCACGGGACCCTCCGAGCAAACGCGAATTATTCAAGACTATAAATTAATACCCCTGTGGAATCAAGAGCGCACGGGCAGGTTAACGCGAGTCTCGATTTGAGAGAAAAGTCAGCCGCAAATGAGACCAAAGGAAGGGAGCCCTCGATCAAAGTAGAGGGCCCCTGAGCACCGAGTGACTCCGTGTCTTACCTTATAGGAGCCCTAGCAATGGCACAAGGCCCTTGAAGCAAGTGGAAAGCACCTGCAATTTATATGAAGGACCCCTGAGCAACTGAGTGCACTCTGGCATATGCGGCCCCGGAAAAAGTGTATGTATCCTTTCGGGCGAATGGGAAGAATCCGTGGAGGAAAACCCGATGGATTGGCAGTGCTCAAGCACGGGGGCAGATAGCGTCCCAACAGCACATTGGGCCCCACGAAAAAGCGGGAAGAGATCAAGGGTAACGTGAAAAGCTCCTTAGCGATAAGATTGACGCAGCAAGTGGACATATAGGGACAGGCAGCCAACATCGTAATGCCTCTAGACAGCGTAATAACACCCACAATTTCCCCTCTGGGCAACACTCTCTCAATCAGCGAAGAATGAACTTCGTTTACTTATGAACTCTTTGCTTTTGCTAGCAATGGTTCTCGGTCATCTGTAGTCCCAAATACATCCAAGTTCGTTGTGCTTTTGTTGTAAGGAAACTACGTCCGTCCGGCCGGTTATCGGCCCCTTCGAAGCCTTTAGGTTCCCTCGGCATGGTCCATGGTCCATGATCCTGTGCCTCCCCCCCCCCCCCCCCCACCCTCTGCATCCGCCACCGACCTGAGGAGCTGAATAAATGGGGCCCACTAAGAACACAGGGCCATCCATACAAATAAGAAATACTCACGACGCAATATGTAGGGCTCTGAACGATCGAGTGCGCTGGAACAGATTAACATATAGGGCCCCCGTCAAGAGCTTGGGGCCCTCGATTCAAATAGGAAGCATTCAAGACCCAATGTAGAGGGCCCTCGAATAATCCGGTTTATCAGAGCAAGTAAACATACAGGGCCCGTTCAAAGTGTAGGGCCCTCTACTCAAATAGGGAACACCCAAGACCCAATGCAGAGGGCCCCGAACGATCGAGTGTGCCCGAGCAGGTTAACAAATAGGGCTCCCAACAAGAGTATATAGGGCCCCCGAACAATCCGATGCGGCCGAAGCGGCGAACAGATGGGGTCCCCGACAAATGCGTTGGTCCCTCCATTCAGATAGGAAGTGCCCAAGACACAATGTGGAGGGCCCCAGATATTTGAGTGTGCCCGAGCAGGCTAACAGATGGGGCTCCGGCAAGAACGTAGGGCCTTCCGTTCAAATATGAATTACCCACGGCACGATGTAGAAGGCCCCGAATAACCGAGTGCGCCAGAGCAGCTTGGCAGATAGGGCCCCCGAAAAGAACGGAGGGCACTCCATTAGAAAAGGAAGTACCCAAAACCAGACGTAGAGGTCCCCCACGATCGAATGGGCCCGAGCATCTTATCAGATGGGGGGCCCCGACAGGAGCTTAAGGCCCTCCGTTCAAATAAGAAGTACCTAAAACCCCATGCGGAGGCCCCGAAAGATGGAGTGTACCCGAACAGGTTATCAGATGATCCCGATACGGACGGAGGGCCCTAAATTCAAACACTGAGGACCAATGTGCAGGGCCCACCAGTGTGGCCGAGGAAGCGAACAGGGGAGGCCCCGACAAGTGCGTAGGGCAAGAGTGCAGGGCCCTAAGCAAGTGACAGAAAATTGGAAACGCCGTAGGCCAATGTAGAGGACCCATGGACATACCGCAAGTGTGTCGGTAGGTTAACCGATACCCACTTAAAGGTCCCCTGAGCAACCGAGAATACCCCGGCAGGTTAAGGTATGGGACTCTGGCTACCGCCCACAGCGCCTGTCTGACGAATGGAAATAATCTGTCGAAGGGCCCGCGATTGACAAGAGTTCCCCGGTACGCTAACAGGAAGGGTCCCAACAACAGCGCAGGGCTCCCTGAGCAAATGCAAAGAAATGAAAGACAACGTGGAATGCTCCCAAACGACCGAAATGAGCCCGCAAGGGGCATATAGGTCCCCCAGAGACAGCATGGGCCCTAGACAGTGTAATGGGGCTTTAAATTTCCAGTTCATGACTTTTCCTATCATTGAGTAATTTTTGGGGCTTCTCATAGGCATTTTACTCTCGCTTACAACTGTTCTTGGTGGCCTGAAAGTCCAGAGATATCTAGTTTTGTTGCGTTTTGTGTTTAAAAAACTGCTCCCGTTTGGCGGGCTGTGGGCCCCCGAAGCCAATGGGCCCCTTCAGGGCCCAAGGGGGGCATGCCCCGTGCCCCCCTCTCTGGATCCGCCTCTGCTTGCTACCGTACGTTTTTCGGGATGCTTTTGTTATTTTCCACTTTTTTGCCCCCCCCCCGAACTCAGTTTGTCCTTGATGTCGGACTGTCGTGGGAAGAAAGTGATTGATCCTAAGTCCAAAGTGTCATTCAGGTGACCACGACAAAATCTCAAATGGGAGCACCGCAAATCCGTTATGGGACCCGAAGCGTCATATACGTAAGTCATATATAATTATATATATATATATATATATATATATATATATATATATATATATAATATATATATGAGTCAAGGGTCTAAAGGTCACTGAGGGGGCGCGGGTCGGACCCTCAAAACCAGGCAGAGGGCTCGTTGCACCGATTGGGCCCTGGCCTCGGCTTGGGAGCCCATTTCCCAAGCAGGGACAA